GGCATCCCCGCCGGTCCTGCCCGGGCCGGGCTTCGGGGCCCCTTCGGGAGAGGGCGGCGCACAGCACCCCGCGCACGTGGCCCTGTCTGGAGTCCTGAAAGCGCAGGAACCCTGCCCCCACTCGCGCGCCTGCAAGCTCCCTGTCTCCCCTCTTGAGATTGCCGGGTCTCAGCCTCCCGGATTCCGGTGAGAAAGTAAGAGAAGTCTACCGCTTAAAGAAGCTAAGTAGGAACTGATAGCCACAGAGCTCTACTAGCTCTGTGTCCACAGCCTTCTGGAACTGGATCTGGGAGCTCCCCAGGGCCTGGAAGGACAGGAGTTTGCACATCCTGCTGCAGCCTTGCGCAAGAAGCTGTAGCGAGTGGGGCAGTGGCCCAAGGTGTCCAATAAAAACCAAACCGCGGAAGTCTGGGATAGAGTCAGTGCTCTAGGATTCACCCCAGATTGTACTCAAAGGCTAGAAGCCCTCAGGGATTACAAACGCTGCTCTTTAATCGTTATCTTTTTCAAAGTTTATCTGGCAGGAGAGAGGTCTGCTGTCTAACAGTCCAGTCACTCCGAGGAGATCTTTTAAACTCAGTGGAGACTCACCCATTTGTACTCAAGGGGAGTGGGGGCAGGCAAGTGCTAAAGGCAGAGTGGAAGGGAAGGAAAACACACACCCTTGTGCGCAGCCACCAAGGCACAGGAACCTCTTCAGCCAGTTTAAACGGCCTGAGTTAAGTCAATTTATAGGACTCACACAGGACCTTCCTGTGTATGGGCAGAGGGTAGAGAAGCGCCCCTTACCATTTCCTGCCACTGTGGATAGGATGACACCTAAAAATTTTACTAATGTAATCCCAGCACTTGGGCGGCTGAAGGCAGGAGGATTGCCAGGCTTTCCAGGCTTTCCTGGGCTACAGAGTGAGTTCAAGGCCAGCCTGGACTACATAGCAAGACTGTCGCAAAAAAATTTGTTTTACTAATGCTACTGTTGTAAAATACATGAATAATAAGGTACAAATGAGTGACACCGCATAAAATACTAGAAGAAGATGTGGGAAGATATTTTTATAACCTCGGGATAGGAAAAACATCTTTAGGGTTAGAAAAAAAAGTACGAGATTGATCTACATGTGGAAAGAAACCCTGCTTTATTGCCAAGTGAAAAAAAGTAAGGTTCTAAACAATATGTACAGTTGGGTCTTACTTTTTAACTACTGCACATGAGCATGTGTGTAAAAGCTAGGCGGAAGTCACACTACTAGCGGTAGCTGGATCTGGAGAGTGAAATTGCACAGCACTTGGTTACAGAGGAACTCTCGAGATTTTGTCTTAACAGGCAATTATGCTATGGTTTTGCAAGGAGTAATTTTTTAAAAAGATAATAAACAAAAATAGGTGTAGAAAGCTGATAGTTAAAAATATAATTTTTTCCAAATATGAAAATTAACATCAATGAAATGAACAAACATTTAAAATTCCTTGGTTAGTGTCTTCACAAGCTCAAAGGTTAGAAGAGGGACACCTCCCTGCCCTTATACTATTGGTACATAACAAAGAATTGATGAATAGCAAGAGCCTGGTAAACTATCAGTCAGTTAACCAAGAAATAAGCCCCCCCCCGCCATAGCCCAGTATGCATCCCTTCTATGCTTTGTAACTTTTGCAGTATCCCTATGTTGCATAACAAAACTGAAGAAAAAATATTCAAAAGTTGAAAAAAAGCAAAGAAAACTAAATGTCCTTTAATGTCCTATTGGACCCTGTATAACAGATATTCCCAAGGATTCCCAAAGTCTCTAGGAAAATGTAATTTTATTCAATGTAACTATTGAGCATTTCTTATTAGTGCCTAAATGGTGAAAACTCACTCATACCTTAGTTTGAGCAGATGGATAAGCTGAAAATAATTCCGTTCAATACAAATGTAAACTATTTCTGTCCAGTAGAAAAGATAGCGCCAAACACTGCTGTTTTGTTACCCTGTATGACATTCACCCACTTTTATATCTTACTTATCAGTTTCATTGCAACATTCCTTTACCAGCAGACTAAATATCTGTTTCTAAATATCTTCAATAAATATGTTGTTGGATAATTTAAACTAGCTGTACTATCTATCCTCCATAAGTTAAATAAGCCTTTTACAAAAGTGCATTGCAAACTTGTATGCAGATGTTTTTAAAAATTACATCTGGAGCTGGCTATGATGTCTCAGCCTATAATCCCAGCTACTGAGGCAGGAGGTTCACAAAATCAAGCCCAGGCTGGGTAATTTAGCCACTTAATGAGAACTTGTCTCAAAATTTAAATTTTTTTAAAAAGAAAAGAAATGAGAACTGTCTGGATGGATGCTTACTCAGCTCTCTGAGCTGACTGCAGCCTTACAAATACACACCATGTTATAGCTACTCTTTCCAGTTCAAAAATCTCTAGAGACTCTGGGTTCAACACTCTGCTTGCAACCTTGTAATGCTGGCCGATTCCTTTTACAGGATCTTGTATTTGTATTGTAACTCCCCCTAGCCGCTCCAGTTTCAAGTGTGTCCTGAAGGAGAATCTTTGCTTCTGTAGCCACAGGGCTGAAGTTACTCAAAACCAACACAAGCCCTCATGTGATTGGGCTGCATCATGGAACAATTTTAACTCTCAGCCTCCAAGTGTATCTGCAGGTAAAGTGAGGACACTGATCAGAAAAAGAATAGGATCCCAACCAGACATGGCGGTGCACCTCTGTAAACTCAGCACTTGAGAGGCTGAGGCAGGAGGATCCTGAATACAAGGCCAGCCAGGACTATATGAGGAGACCCTGTCTCAAAAATCAAAAAAGGAAAAATTACATTTTGACAAGAACTGGAAAAAAATAAAGCTTCAGCATTAAAAAAAAAACATAAAAGTCATATCATGAGTGCAAAGTTATGCAATGATAAGTGGTATGATGAAACAATATTTTAATATTTAAAATGTTTTTAAATATATTACAGTAAAAGATACATTGCCAATAATCTCCCTCAAAATAGACTTCCTCAGTTTGAACACACTTGTGCCATTGTTCCTGCCATTTTCTGAAGCAGTTCTGCAAATCCTCTTTCATGCGTGTCTAATTGCACTGGTATGACACCCTGGATGTTCTGAATTGATTCAAAATGTACACCTTTCATAGTCATTTTGACTTTGACTTTAGAGAAGAGCCAGAAGTTGCAAGGTGCTAGATCCAGTGAATAAAGTGGATGAGGAAATACTGGTGTTTCTACAAACCTGCCTTTCTGTTGAATGGCACTCAGCAGCAGCATTCACTGTGTATTTTATCACACCTCATAAAGACACTCATGAAAGAGGACTTCCAGAACTGCTTCAGAAAGTGGTGGCGGTGGGATCAACGTGATCAATATGTGATATATTTACTAATCTTCCAAAATAAATGTAATTATTATGTATCACAAATTTATACAAATATAAAATAAAATTCTATAAATTAGAAGAAAAAGTGACAAGAACAAAGGAATATGTTTGAATTTAGTGTTTTGAGAGAGACGAATATTGGTGTCTTTTACTGTAATAATTTTGATAAGTTAAGCATTCATTGTATGTTTTGATCACACCTCATAAGCAGTGAGCAAAAAAGTAATATCATTCAAGGTATTCAGAGTAGTCCAAACAACCTTAGTATAGAATGAGGCCACAGGACTCATACCTTCCAATTTCAAAACTTACTACAAAACTGCAATAACCATGACATACACTGAGAGTGCAGAAAGAAGCCCTTATAGCTAAGGTAAATTATTTCTGACCAAGATGCCAAGACAATGAAGTGGAGCAAAAAATCTTTTCAACAAAAGTTACTGGCACAACTGGATGTCTACATGCAGAAAAATGAAGTTGAGCCCATATTCATATCATACACCAAATTTGACTCAAAATAGATCAGTGATCTAAATGTAAAGGTTAAAATCAGAAAACTCTTGGAAGCAAAAACCATAGGCATAGCGCTTCATGGCCTTTGATCAGACAATAGATTCTTACATATCACACCAAAAGTATGGGCCACCAAAAAATAATAGATTAACAATATATCACACATTTTTAATGTACTTTAATTTAAAGAGCACTATCAGGAAAGTGAAAAGACTACCCACTGAATAGGAGAAAATG